AAATGAAAATTATACTATGTCAAAATCATTCACAGATTTCTTTTAAAAACAAAAAAACAAGCATTTGCTTCAGCAGCACATCTATAATAACCTGAAAACCAAAGGAAACTATTCCTAAAAATTGATTAGTCAACCAGTCTCATTCTCTGTGGTCATTATAAAAGGAGTACTTCCTAATAGCTTAGCTTTCCCATAAAAACACACCAACCTTTTTAAAACTAAGACTTCTCCTTTATTCTAGGGTCACAGCAGCATTGCTAAGGGGTAATCCAAACTCAGTGCTCAGGGGTGGCTCCTTATAGTGCTCAGAGGACCATGCAGTACCAGGGATCAAACTTGGGTTTCCTGAGGCCGAGAAGATAGTACAGAGGACAAAGTGCCTGCCTTGCATAAGACTGACCCAGGTTTTATCCCAGCACCCTCTATTATACCCCGAGCACCTCCAGGAATGATCCCTGGGTTCACAACCAGGTGTAAGCCCTGTGCACCGCCAGATGTAGCCCCAAAACATGCACCAAAACCCTTTGAGCTCTCTCTCTCTCTCTCTCTCTCTCTCTCTCTCTCTCTCAGCCCAAACTATCTCCTTCCTATTTGAAAATCAGTTCCTGCTTTTATACTTTGAGTCTTTGCTAGGATTCCCTCTAGATTGCTTTTCATGAGACGACACAGCTCCAAATAAATGCATAAGTTGCAATCATGACTAGGGATCAAACTAACAATTTGATACTTCAATTATTAATGGAAGTATTAAATTATAATACTTATTTTAAGTATAATTCTATTATTAATAATTTACATATAATTATTAAATTATAAAATCATAATTATTAATAATTCAGTTTATTGAGGCATATGCTTTAATCCAGAATACCTTGGTTCAACCTTGACTGTACCATTTACTTCCTATGTGACTTCAAACAAGAAATGTAGCTGTATTTAATTTTCATCTCTATATAATAAAAACAGATACTACACTTGATCTTAGCCAAAAAATAGGCCAAGAAGCTGGAGCAATAGCACAGCGGGTAGGGTGTTTGCCTTGCACGCGGCCAACCTAGGTTCAATTCCTCCATCCCTCTCAGAGAGCCCGGATAGCTACCGAGAGTATATCGCCCACATAGCAGAGCCTGGCAAGCTCCCTGTGGCCAAAAACAGTAACAAGAAGTCTCACAATGGAGACATTACTGGTGCCCATTCAAGCAAATCGATGAACAATGGGAGGACAGTGCTACAATGCTACACACAATAAAAAAGAATTACTGATAACTATTTCTTCAGGTAGCTGTGAGAATCAAAATAGATAACAGTGCCTGGCTAAAGTGTTCACAACACTAATAATAATAATTATAATAAATGTGTTGCTAATATGAAATCATAATATGGACAGAAGTTATAATAATATTTAATTTCATTCCATCTTTAGTCAACATTTTGGAGTTACGACATGGCTCAAAGGGCTAGACTACATGCTTCACACTCATGGGTCCGTGTTTGAACCCCAGAAATATACTGGTCCCCCCAGCACTACAAGGAGAGGCCACAAACACCAAAAAAAGTTTTTCATAAAAAATAAAACATTAGAAAGGTAAGATTTTACTGATTTATTATTACTGGTATTTAGTTCCTCAATGCACAGACTGTGTTACATTTTCATGATTCTCTTCATGAGTCTGCCTAAATTAATTTACAAAGTATGACAGTGTTAAGTGCATTTCTTCACACATGGGATCTTTGATTTTCGACTATGGATGACTCTTCAATAATTTATTCAAATTTCATTGTCTATATAAAGTCCTTAAGGGGTAGGAACTAGGTTTTCTACTTTTGCATTTATTACATTATAATCAAACACTCTTGTCCTAACACAAACTAAATGGGTAATAAATGAATTAATGAATGAGATAGTGAGTAGACATATGACATTAACTCAGAGTATAAGCAGCAGGTGCAATTCACCTACAGGAATAAGCACTTTCTTCTGAAAGATGATATAACAGGGTTTGCTTGCACAGATCAACGAGGTGCTGGTCTTACACATTTAAACTTCTTCCTGCCAGCCTGTGTTTTCAGTAGAGTTGATGGTCTATATAATTAAAAGGCAAGATGAGGAAATAAGGAATGACCAAAATTGAGCCCCATATCTACGGGACAAAGATACATACAGTATAGGACTGAAAAAATGTAAGACTTTAATGCTTTGCAAAGTTCATCACTTTGGGATTAAAAAGGCAATTACCTCATAACGTGAAAAACACTAAATTTTAGAAAAATCACTAACATTAATTCAATAAATGTGTGCAACCCACTCCCATGAAATCTTGTGAGAACACTAGGCATCATAATTTTATGTGAAACCCACTTGACAAACATATGTAAACCTCAAATAATATTATATTTAAAAGTAAGTATACTGTCTTCTTTTATATATCTACCTTAAAATATATGAGAAACTAACCTACCAACTTTAAGCTTGTGCTTCAGGAAAAAAGTCTTTAAGGAACAGAAAATTTCAATGAATTAACTTCTTAAAGTTTATGAAGAAATAAAAACAATATATTAGGTCAGAAAGAAATCATTTTGTAGGCTTCCTAAATACTAGCAGGAATCTGGTCTATATATTCCACATATATATACTGGTGCTTCTTGAATATTATTTAAGATAACAGATTTAATTCAATAATTTAAATGTTAAATGAAGATTTTCCACTAACATGTAGTCAGGGATACAGAAACCCTAGACCAGTATGCTTTTTTAGCTGCCAAGAAGTATAACTGAATATACATCCTACAATTTCATTTTCAAACCTCACGTTTTTACCATATTGAAAATTAGAAGCATAAGTTTATCCTCACATTTGGCCATCAATAAGGAAACTTAAAAAAAAAACAAAGAGAAAAAGACTGAATAAAGTAATAGTTTCACTAATCCTCTTTCTGTATTCAGCTCACAAAAAAGCTTGGAAAGTAAAACTGTAGGATTTGGAGAAAAGTAAGGTTGGAAATAGTTTCAAGTGATGCATGGATTGATTCTATTTAGAAAACAGACAACAGAAAAAGAAAAGTGAGGTGTTATCATCTTCAGTGTGGAGGTCACTGGAGTTATTTTCTAGAGTGGGTATCTGTGCTGTGTGTGCAGGAGATCTGGGGGACAATGGAGTTATTTTCTGGAGAAATAGATGTGCTTGTGTTTGCAGGAAATTTGGGGTCAATAACATAGGGAGATATGGGTGAAGGTTAAAGAAAAGGAAGAAAGCAAAGGGTACTGCCAAGTGATTCACTTCTTTCTCCAAGAGTCTGAATAGTGCCAGAAAAGAAAAAAAAGAGTACATTAAACTGAATTCTATTCATGATAAACAATCTGCCAGTGGAATGGCGGCGGGGGGTGGACCATATTTACTTTGTGCAAGCATATTAGCTCTCTTAAGTGGAGAAGATACTCTTCAGGCAGAGGAAGGAAAAGTTATTTACATACTGGGCCCTTAATATTTACTGGATATCTATGCAGCCCCACAAGAAGTCACTTATTCCTGTTCTCCATTGAAAAACATTAGTTCTAACAGCAATTAAATACCGATAATCATACATAATGTCCAAAATTACTGAACCGTTTTGATAAAGAATCAAGAACAGTCCGGGCAAGATATCTATAGATCCTTTTCATGTATTACAAGTTAGATTTGGACAACTCTGTATTTACTGACTTACGTGCACAAACACAGATATACACACACACATACACACACACACCTTTAAAAGAGATAGCAAAACTTTAGATATACACCTACACATTTACATGCATATATATGCATATTATATATTTTTACATAGACACATATATACATATATGTGTATATATATATATTATTCTCTTTTCTAGGATCATCCCTGCAAGTTACTTCGTGGTGAGGAGATTTTTGCTGGACTTGATCTTTCTCTTAACCTATGCAGTGTAATACTTCGACTGAATTTATTGATAAATAAACCACATAACACTACACGTTGAAAGTCAAATGCATTAAAAGAAAGTAGTTTTCCGTTGGGTTGAGCTAAATAAAAAAACGAATAAATAAATCCTCCCCCCCCAAAATTCAAAACTCCATCAATGCAAAACCCAGAATTGTGAAAAGCTATTTAAATATTGACGTTATTGCATAACTTGATTAGCAGGAATGCTGAACCTGCATGAAATTAACCCGGTGTTCATTCGAACATCCTTACTTTTCTTCTCAGTGCAGTCTTCTATCTATTATTCGAACACTTTGCAGTGATAAATGATGTTTGTGCATATGGCACAGCGACTATTTTATGAATGGCTACACACACAAAAAAATGTTCGTGTTTGGAAAATAAAAAAAAATGGAAGGCAGCATATTATTTCGAAAATGGTCATTAAGCACAGGAAGCCAATGATGAGGCAAATGGTCTGTGTCTTTCTGGTACCATTCAGGGAAACTGTATTCCCAAGTCTCATAGAGCGTGTTGGAAACAGCCGAGCGGCTCTTTCCTGGGGGACCCTGGTCTCCCTCGCCGGAGCCGGTGCAGCCGCACTCAGGACCTCGCATCCTTTGAAGAACACAATGCCAGCATGCCTCTGGGTTCTGAGGACGATCCCTCACTCAGAGACCTCGCACTCTTGTCACCCCGGTCCCACAAGTGTGTGCCTGGGAGTGTGGCATTTACCAAGGGAACGAGCGGAGCTCCTCTCCTAGAAATAAGGCGCCCCAACCCTTCCCAGGCTGGCTGCTGGGAGCTTGTCGGGGGCTACCACTTAAGTGCCATCCCCGCGGGGAAGGAGCCTTGCAGGAAGAACCCTCTCCAGCTAAGTCAGCTTTGTGTGTAAGTCCACTCAGCGCCAGATGGCAGTTTTTTTGTTTTTTGGGTTTTTTTTTCCCCAACGCCTTCAGCAACTCCACTCTTAGCACGGCTAGGCTGCCCGCGACGGTTCCCTGGGAGAAGGGAGACCCTGCCGGGGAGCGGGCCCGCGCCCCCCCGCCACTTACCGAGCTCCCACCGACCCCGGGCGCGGGCACCAGCACGGGCTGTGGGATTCCCCCGCTCCCTCCGGGGCTGCGCTCCCCGCGCCGATCCCCTTCGCCAATGATGTGTCGCTGGAAATCCCCCTCCCCTCCAGCAGGAGGAGGGTCTCCCCGGCGGGCTGGAGCTGCGGGCGTCTGCTCCCCCCCACACTGGCTTTACATCCCTGACTCTGCCGCACGGGCTCTAGTACGAAAGGCTCCGAAGCGAGGCGGCGGGAGGGAGCTGAAGCATCCTTTTAAAAAAATAAAAAGAAAAAAAAAAGAACAATAATCTTCGTGGATCTTCACCCGCTTCCCCACGAGGATCCCATCCCCCGGCCGCTCCCGCCGCCGTCGCCCAGACCGTCAGAGGGTTGAAAGGGAAAGGGAAAAGAAAAAAAAAAAGAGAGAGAGGGAAAAAAAAAAAAAGATTGCAGCCGGGCTGCGAGCCGGGCGGGTTGGCTGGCGGGCGGGCGGGCGGCGCCGCGCGCGCCGGGGAGTTGCAGCGGGCTCGGCCGCGGCGTTGGCGCGGAGGGCGGCGGGCGCTGCTGGGTGGGTGTGTGTCGGCGGCGGGGAGAGGCCGGGCGCTGGGGGCACACCCGCCCGCCGCCCCCCTTCCCCACCCCGGCCGCGCTCCGCCTCCTCCCGGCACCGCCTCCGCCTTGCCGGCGCTCGGGCTCCCGCGGTGGGCAGCGTCGGGGGGCCGGGCTCGGGCCGGAGGCGCGCGCGAGCCGCGGGGGGCAGCGCCGGGCACCGCCCACATCACCCCCACTTCCACCACCACCACCCTCCCCCAGCCCGGGTACCTTCCGGAGCCCGCCCACTCCGCGCCCACCTGCTCGGCCGCGCGGGATTCCCCGGCTCCCCCGCCCCGCGCGACCCCGGACGGAGCGCGCGGGGAGAACTCGGCGCGCGCGCGCGCGAGCGCGCGCGGGGTTGCCACTTGCCGCTCGCCGGCCTGCCCGGGCACCCCCACCCGAGATCGCGCTCTCCCGGCCGGCGGGGAAACGCCGGGGCGCGAGCAGCCGCGGCTCCCGCTTCCCACGGGGGCGCTGTTCGCACTCGCGCGGGCCTGCCCTGGCCGCTCCCCAGATACCCTGAGAACTAGGGGAACTTCCTCCCGGGCGAGGCCTCCAGGGACACTCGCCAACCCCCCACCCCCAACACACACACACACACACACACACACACCACACACACACACACACACACACACACACACACACACACACACACACACACACCTTGAGGGAGTAGCAGCGAGGATTGAGATAGATGCATTTGAGCCAGGTCCCCTGCTCGCCCCGGGCGATGCAGTCTGCACCCTGCACGGAGGAAAAAAAAAAGTAGCTCGGAATCCTTTTTTTCTTAAACAGAATGTAGATATGACAATGAATTTAAGCTGGATTCCTTTCAGACTTTCTCACGTGGACCAAGAATGGTGGTTCTTGAAGACGGTTCAATGTGCATTTCGTTGCAAACATATCTCACTGGGGCCGGAGAAGTTAGAGCAGCAGGTAAGGCTCTTACCTGCATGGAACTAACCAGGATTGACTTATGTGGTACCTGAGCACCACCGCAAGGAGCGATCCTTGAGCACTACTGGGTGTGGCCCCAAACAATAAACATACATACATCTACATTTAGTTTTGCCCTTTTAGCCCTGTAGCCTAGCCTTACATTTTAGGGTATAGCACACCTTGATTTCCAGCCTTTACCTCGTGCTTGATCATTTGGGGGTTTTTTCCCCTTGCATCTGCTGGACACTACACAGATTATAATATGATACAGTTTTAGGGTCAACCCTAGTTAGATATCGGCATCGCATCTGACTCTTGAGCACAAAGCCAGGAATTATGACTGATTGCTGTCACGGGGAACCCCCCCTTCCCCCGCCCAATAAATGTTTGAAAAAAACCCCCCTTGTATAGGTTTCAGTTTAAAGCTTTATAAAATCAAGATCTGTATTTACTACTTTATGTTGGCCACCAGAATTTTTATTTTCTGTCTATCATCACACAGCTGACCCATTTACAAGATTTTCACCCACCCCTTCCCTTCGGGTAACTGTTATTTTTGTGCTTATAATTTAATTGGACCTCTTTGTGGTGATGGTTCAGTTATTCGTGTCTTTACCATATAAGTAAAATTACATTCTCTTTTTCTTTCTCTATCAGACTTACTTAAATAAGCATGATTTTCTCTTGTTTAGTCCATGTTGTTGCAAAAATAGTAGGATTTCACATTTTCATTTTTTTTATTTGGATTTCACATTTTCTATCAGCCAGTAGTATTGCATTGTGTCCATATGGTACATCTTCTTTATCCATTCATCTGTTAGTGGGCACTTTAGTTATTTCCAACTCTTGTCTGAACTCAGGACTGTAGCTCAGTGGCAAACTTCATACCTTGCATGCTTGGTACCTAAGTTTGACCCAGACACTGCTCCATCCCCATACCCTTCATACCCCTCACACCATCCCTGTCCCCATACACACAAAGTTCCAACTCTTGGGTATAGTGAATAATGCAATGATTTGTCTGAAGAATTCAAACACACTAATACAAAGCCATACTGAAAGCCACATGCATGCCTATGTTCATTGCAACACTTTGCAGTATTCAATATCTGGAAACAAACCACACAACCAAACATAAATACAGAGAGAGAGAGAGAGAGAGAGAGAGAGAGAGAGAGAGAGAGAGAGAGAAGCACTTGCCATAGAGACAGGCATGGAGTGGGGGTGGGGGGTGATGAGAGGGAACCTGGGGACACTGGTGCTAGGAAATCTACACTGTTGGAGGGATGGGACTTGGAATACTGTATGACTGATATCCAATCATGAACAGCTTTGTATGGGTCTATCTCCCAGTGATTCAATAAAAAAAATTTTTTTTTAATGTGGCATACGCATGCAATGAAGTACTTTTCAGAAGGGAGGCAAGATGAAATTTTACAGTTTCCTGCACCTTCGATGGAATTGGAAGGTGTCATGCGTGCTAAATGAAGTGAATCGGAAAGTAAAAACAGATCTCACTCATGTGTGAAGTATAAAGAAGCAAAGAGGTTAGACACTCTCCAAAGGGAACTAATTCTGAGACATGATCAGTAGAAATGTGAACTGAGGAGGCTGGGGGACGCAAGGAGGGGAAAGGGCCATGGGGCTACAGTGGCGGGATCCTGAAACAATGGTAGAAGGATGGGGCTGGAGCAATAGTATGGTGGGTAGGGCGTTTGCCTTGCACCCGGCCAACCCGGTTTGATTCCCAGCATCCCATATGGTCGCACCCCCCACCCCCACCACCACCAGGATTAAATCCTGAGTGCAGAGTCAGGAGTAGCCCCTGTGTATTGCCTGGTGTGACCCAAAAAGCAAAAAAACAAAACAACAATGGTGGAATGGAAGGACAGAGATAGTAGCTCTGCAACTGTAAAACAGCTGTTCAATAATACCGTAACTGATGATGCCTCAATATAAATTAATAAATGAAAATAGATAAAATAGAGCAATATATGTCTCATTATTTTAAATAATTTCTCCCACAGTAGATTCTTTAATACTTATTGTTTATATTCATTATACTTAACCTAAAACCACTCACACAAGAGATAGTGTTCATCCAACAAACATTACCTGTTAATTTTCTCAGGTATGTGGTATTTATTAAATAAAATTCACAAAGTATTTTATGTCTAGAAAGAGTGCTTAGGACTCTTATCGGATGTATCTAAATGTAAGTGGTATGAGCTCTTATGAATCTTAGGATGGTGAAAATCTCCAGTATACTAACTCTACATCAATTTATTGATCACCCCTGTAAGATTAATTTTTGATAAGTATTTTTTAAATATTTTTTAGCCTAAATTTTGATCACTGTTTAGAAATTGGAGTGTGTTTTTTCCTAAGTGGTCATTAGTCAAGAGGGCAAATAACCCACTGGTTAAAACACAATGTTATTATATCTCTTTCTGAGGAGCGATGGTGCTGGAGAGGGTTATCCATCATGCCAAAATCGTGTCTTTAAGCATTCAGTGATACAGAAAAAGAGTTTGGAAATAAAATATAAATTTGCTTTTTAAATTATCCATACTCAAAATGGGTTATGAAGAATAACCCCAGTATACAAATTGTTTGGAATAGCTAAATTCTCCATATGCACAGCTTGAATTCTGGATGGTTGCAAAGACTCTTGTGTTAATTATCACCATGTGGTTCTACTGCATTTGTATATAGAATTTTTCATTTTTTCATTTCACTTTTTATTTGTTCTCCAAAGGAAGGATTAAAATGATCTAGGAGAAAAGCCAGCATGTTATTTATTAATCCTTAAACTATCTTTTTCTGGTTTTTGCTCTTATTGATATTTGTGGAAATATTCCTTTAGCTCATATTTCAATTTTTTATTATTTTGGTGAAGTTTTATTAATAATAAAGGAGAAAAATGACTGTCTTGTATATCAAAATAATGCCCTCAGTGTTTGGTAAAGTGAATAACATTAATATAAATAAGTTTCACCTGAAACACTAAATGTATGAAAAAATACAATTTAGGTAAAGAATACAATTTCCAGAATGATGGTATATTAGACCATAAATATATATATACATATACATAATATATATGTACATGTATATATATGTACATGTACAGGGGTTGGAGTGATAGCACAGCAGGTAGGGCGTTCGCCTTACACGCGGCCAACATGGCCGACCCGAGTTCGATTCCTCCGCCCCTCTCGGAGAGCCCGGCAAGCTACCGAGAGTATTCGATATGCCAGACACAGTAACAACAAAGTCTCCAATGGAGACGTTACTGGGCCCGCTCGAGCAAATCGACGATCAACGGGAGGGCCTTTACCTTTACCTTTACCTATATGTACATAGAAGTACAATATCAAGCACACGATATTTTCATGATTTTGTGGAATAAAATGTTTGAAAAATATTCTGAAGGACATCATTACTAAATATGCCTTAGCCTGAAATGTTCATTGGCAAGTAGATTGGCAGAGAGCCTCATAAATTCAAATAAAGTAGTAAAGACTGGTGAATGAACATATTTTTAAATGTTAAAGGCATAAGAATAAGAATTTACAAGCTTTTGGAGACTACAGAACCAGAGTTGGATTTAAGCTTTTTAAAAGGTCAAATGGAAAGAAATGTATGACATACTGTGTAAAACCACACACACACAAAAATAGAGCAAGCACCAAAAATATATTAAGAAAAAGATAAACCCCTTTAAGTGGAAAAAATAGACAAACATAAATGTAAATGAGATATATACATATTCTAGAAGCATTTATATGAAGCTTTAAAAAGTTTTATTCAAGAGTTAGAAGGCTGGTTTTATTTAGCATAATCTTATTGTACCTGGCCACAAAGATAAATGAATATTAATTTTCTTTAAACATCAGCACTATGGGGATCCTAATTTACATTTTTAATAATAGATCAACTATATGCATAGATTGGAGCTGCACTTTTTTTTTTAACATGAGAAAAACAGAAAGGAGCCACTGAAGAGTAATTAGGATTATCACATTTTTAGACTCAGTGTGCATTCTTTTGCCCTTCTAAATGAAAATGTAGGAAAACTGGGACAATTTAGAGCAACTCAGTGAATCTTAGCAGCCACTGAAATCCTACCCTCCCACATTGCAGTGAAGGCTTGAAAAATAAATGAGCTGTCTGTGTGTTCTTCATTGAGGAGATAAGTACTATCTCATTGATTCTTCTGAATTTAGTTGAGACAGATTTGGCTACCCTTTGAAGATTTAAAGCAAGAGATAAGATCCACACTGACCATATTTTTTTTTCATTCTTATAGTGAACATGAACTTTTTGAAAAGTTCCAGATGTTAAAGCATAGCATTTTCCTGCTAAG